ATTATTGTTGTAGTGGATGTTGCTGTGAGGAGTGGCATTTGAATTCGTGCATCGGTTGAAATGTCAATCCACATCATTAAGATTCAAATAAAAGTTTTGTCAAGTTCAACATACATACACCAAGTTAGTTTGGGAGAAATCATTCAATGAGCAACTTGAATCAATAGAGCACCTGTTGACCCACAGAGTATGGTTTGGGGTGGACCTAGGCTATCGAGTGAACCAGCTGGCCTTCGACACAGTAAAACAGAGGACATCTGCCTTAATTCCAAGCATTGATAATATCCAACTATCAATGGAGGTGATAAGCAAATTGGCAACCACTGGATGGGTTATTTGGAAGGCAAGAAATGAGTTCATCTTCAGTCGTAAGGGGCAAGACTTATGGATCTATGCTTCACTCATCAGAGCAGACCCTTGAACAGAACTGCTCATTGAAACAGTAATTACCCAAACTCTTCCAATGTAACTGAGTCAAAACCCACCAGATGAACTATCTTTTAATGCACAACTATCTATCTTTTTTTTTTCTCCCCAATATTTCTCTTATTTTAAATTACATAATTAAAAAAATTAATTATTATTTAAAATATAAATATTATGTGATCGATATTTAACTTTTAATAATATAAATATTTTCAGACACAAAGTTATTCCTACGTTATATGTGATTAAGGAAACCAGGACAGGCAAATTGTGAGTGGCAGGCAGTATTTTATCCAAAAGCCAAACCATGGCAGCCTAACACACTAGCGTCTTCTCTCCAACTGCTCAGCTCCAATCACTCAAAATCAATCTTGAAAAGAACCCTCTCCACTCACGGACCTTCCTTGCCCCACCCCACGCCACCACACCACACCACACCACATGTTTTATTCTCCCATCCCACATTGCTTTTCAAATTACCAAGTTACCCTTTACATCTTTAAATTTAATATAATATTATTAAATTCCAACCTTTTCCTGCCCTACTCTCCTACGTCTATGCATTTGTATATTTGGAATCAGACCACGATCAAATTCATCATTAATTTATTGAAATCCTATCTAAAAAATATTCAAGTTTGAATTTGAATTATCAGCTAAAAATATTTAATTTTGAATTTATTCAAATACATATTTAATTTGACCCATTGACAATACTATTCATAACTCTTTAGGGCAACTGTTGAAAAAATTAAATACAAATAAAGTAAATAGTAGGGTGAGACGCGGACTAAATCGCTCTCTTGAGACGATTCGTGTCACTCTATTAAAGAATCACAACGCAGAAAGTAGTAACACGTACAACAGTTCAGTCTGTTGATTGTTGCTTCATTAAAATCTGCACAATCAAATAAAGTAGAAACTTTACACACACCTTTGAATATTGCCCAAAAACTTATATAGTAAGAAGATATATTTTCCAGCCTAGTTCCACCCCTGCGCACGTGAGAGTATCAAAATCTCTCTTTAATTCAAAGGCTATATATATTGCCTAGCCTAACTCTTTAGCTGAATTTGAGCTCAATTTGATTCGCTATTTAATATCTAAATAAATATCATAAACAAATCAAGGTCATCGAAAGTCTATTCGTGTCTGATAAATGATGTGAGCTTAAATTTTGATTTTAAAATTATTTTTAAAATAAATCTCTACTCAACTCAACTCTTATACGTCCCAAATTTTAATTAAACTAGAAAATATGACCCAACAAAAATCAAGTTCATAGATGGGATAGGTAGGTATAGTAATTATAAAATTGATGAAATTTCTCTTATCCATGTGTTTTCCTTCCGNTAAATTACATAATTAAAAAAATTAATTATTATTTAAAATATAAATATTATGTGATCGATATTTAACTTTTAATAATATAAATATTTTCAGACACAAAGTTATTCCTACGTTATATGTGATTAAGGAAACCAGGACAGGCAAATTGTGAGTGGCAGGCAGTATTTTATCCAAAAGCCAAACCATGGCAGCCTAACACACTAGCGTCTTCTCTCCAACTGCTCAGCTCCAATCACTCAAAATCAATCTTGAAAAGAACCCTCTCCACTCACGGACCTTCCTTGCCCCACCCCACGCCACCACACCACACCACACCACATGTTTTATTCTCCCATCCCACATTGCTTTTCAAATTACCAAGTTACCCTTTACATCTTTAAATTTAATATAATATTATTAAATTCCAACCTTTTCCTGCCCTACTCTCCTACGTCTATGCATTTGTATATTTGGAATCAGACCACGATCAAATTCATCATTAATTTATTGAAATCCTATCTAAAAAATATTCAAGTTTGAATTTGAATTATCAGCTAAAAATATTTAATTTTGAATTTATTCAAATACATATTTAATTTGACCCATTGACAATACTATTCATAACTCTTTAGGGCAACTGTTGAAAAAATTAAATACAAATAAAGTAAATAGTAGGGTAAGACGCGGACTAAATCGCTCTCTTGAGACGATTCGTGTCACTCTATTAAAGAATCACAACGCAGAAAGTAGTAACACGTACAACAGTTCAGTCTGTTGATTGTTGCTTCATTAAAATCTGCACAATCAAATAAAGTAGAAACTTTACACACACCTTTGAATATTGCCCAAAAACTTATATAGTAAGAAGATATATTTTCCAGCCTAGTTCCACCCCTGCGCACGTGAGAGTATCAAAATCTCTCTTTAATTCAAAGGCTATATATATTGCCTAGCCTAACTCTTTAGCTGAATTTGAGCTCAATTTGATTCGCTATTTAATATCTAAATAAATATCATAAACAAATCAAGGTCATCGAAAGTCTATTCGTGTCTGATAAATGATGTGAGCTTAAATTTTGATTTTAAAATTATTTTTAAAATAAATCTCTACTCAACTCAACTCTTATACGTCCCAAATTTTAATTAAACTAGAAAATATGACCCAACAAAAATCAAGTTCATAGATGGGATAGGTAGGTATAGTAATTATAAAATTGATGAAATTTCTCTTATCCATGTGTTTTCCTTCCGGTTTTCTTCTCTTTCATTATCTAGTTAGCCGTCGAAATCATAATTATATGGTCTATGATTGGTTGATAGTAAGGTATGAATGAATGATTCATCCAACCTTTCAATTGCGTTCTTGAATTAGATTCAACATCATACCAGTCTGTTGTCAGCTTTATCCACAGATTCTTGTTCCATTACCGGATGCAATTTTTTTAAAAAAGGGGAGGGGGTGGGGTGGGGTGGGGAGGGTGACTTAGGAAATATATGCGTCAGAATAATGCAAACTAGCAAACAAACAAAAGAGAAAGAGAAAAAAGTGGGCGGGGTCCACTGACATGTAGACTAATTCAATCTATGTAGGGATTTTCTGTTATTGCTTGAATCCCAATCCCAATCAAAGCTTAACCATGAAGGAATTGGATTATGGTGTACAAAAGTAAATTTACCCAACAACCATAAAGATGTTATTTCCTCGTCATAATAATAACCATTTAGTTGAAAAAGTCTATTGGGTTTTCAAAAAAAAAAGAAAAGAAAAAGAAAAGCTAGGAGAGAGGTTTCAACTTTCAAGCACAAGAACATCCATGAAATGATGTTATTATAAAAATACTTGAAATAAAATAGAACTGCAATCTCATAGTTATCTTGATGCTGACCTTTTGGCCCACTGGAATTGACAATCAAACTAAACTAAAAATATACTGTGCATAGTTGAACCAACATTAAATCTGCCCAACACCCATGAAAAGTAGAGAGAGATCTTACTCAAAAGGAAACAAATGCTTTGCACAAAGTTTCTTAGTTTTCATGAATGAAGTAAACTCTTTCACCCTTCATTAAATACAATCGGGAATAGAATGCCTTCCCAACTTAAAATTTTCATCTAATTTTTGAATATATTTATAATATAAAATATGATAGATTTTAATAAGTTCATCCGACGGTCTCAAATAGACTCATTCAACAGTCACCAATTTCTTCTTAAAACTATTCATATTACACCGTGACTTCAACCACAAATTATCTATAATATTAATATAAAAATTGACATAATACAAAAATATTATCCTAATTTTAATAAAAAAATATTATTTGAACCTAAAAATTTGACATAATTTATTAACTTAATAACGTGATTTTATTAGAACCATTGAATTAATACTAAGTTCTAATGTTTGATAGAATCCATAGTTAATCTAAAAATTATAATGTATTAGATCAATAAATAAAATTAATAAATGAGTGACATCTTTAACTTTCCTTCCTCCCACCAAACCCCACGCCTCTCTCTGCTTTACAACAATATCAAAAGGATATACTAATAAGTAATGCTACGTAAGGATATACTAATAAATAATGATACATAAATTTAAAAATTAGACTTAATAATTTTAATCATTAATTTTATTATGAATTTCAGTATTTATTGAGGCTTACTATCTATTTAATAATTAAAATTATCAAATTTAATTTTTAAATTTAATTTTTAAGATTAGGTAGTATTACTCTATATTAATACCAACTTTGGAGCGGCCTCACTCCACCAAACAGAAACAGGGGCACTTCCTAAGATGTGAATCCTCTCAATTCGAGTATTTGTCTTATTTAAGTATCAACCACCGGATCCAATGGGTCCCACTGGTTTTAGTAATAGTCAATCAATTTAACGGTGATGATTGAATTGAATCAAAACAGTGAAATTGAGAGGATGCTAAAGCTCCTCTCCTCCTCTGTCATTTCTACGAAAATACAACACATGTTCCTGTCTTCTTACTCCAAATAACCCAATCTAATCACCACGCTCCACCTCTATCTCTCTCTCCTTCCTGCTACTACTGCTCTTCCTGTCTTCTTCTTTAATCTCTCTCTCCCCATCATAATTCTCCATCTACATCTCCNATCTCTCTCTCCTTCCTGCTACTACTGCTGTTCCTGTCTTCTTCTTTAATCTCTCTCTCCCCATCATAATTCTCCATCTACATCTCCGGCCGACGAGTCTCTTCCATCGGCGTTCATGGCCAAACTCATCGTAGAAGTTCTTGACGCCAGTGATCTAATGCCCAAAGATGGACAAGGGTCGGCAAGTCCCTATGTAGAAGTAGAATTCGAAGAGCAACGACAAAGAACACAAACAAAGCCAAAAGATCTCAACCCACAATGGAATGAAAAGCTCGTCTTCAACATCGACAATCCAAGGGCTCTTCCCAACAAAACCGTCGACGTTTCTGTGTTCAACGATCGGAAACATGGCCACCGCAACAAGTTTCTCGGCCGGGTCAGAATCTCCGGCGTCTCAGTCCCTTTCTCCGAGTCTGAATCCATGATACAACGCTACCCACTTGACAAACGTGGCCCTTTTTCTAATATAAAAGGCGATATCTCTTTGAAAATATATGCAACTCTTGGTCACTTCTATTCTCCACCACAAGCACAACATTTCAATGGTGTGGAGACTAAAGAAAGTTTCGAAACTTTCGAGACTAAAGAAAGTTTCCAAACTTTCGAAACTAAAGAGACGACTCCATTGCAAGAGTTCGATACTAACAAGCTTGAAGATGAGTACAGAGCTAGTGAATACAAGAAGAAAAAGAAGAAGGAAAAAGAAGTAAGGACTTTTTACAGTGTTGGAAGTGGTGGTGGTGGTGGTCCTGCACCAGCACCAGCACCAGCACCAGCTCCANTACTTGAAATAAAATAGAACTGCAATCTCATAGTTATCTTGATGCTGACCTTTTGGCCCACTGGAATTGACAATCAAACTAAACTAAAAATATACTGTGCATAGTTGAACCAACATTAAATCTGCCCAACACCCATGAAAAGTAGAGAGAGATCTTACTCAAAAGGAAACAAATGCTTTGCACAAAGTTTCTTAGTTTTCATGAATGAAGTAAACTCTTTCACCCTTCATTAAATACAATCGGGAATAGAATGCCTTCCCAACTTAAAATTTTCATCTAATTTTTGAATATATTTATAATATAAAATATGATAAATTTTAATAAGTTTATTCGACGGTCTCAAATATACTCATTCAACAGTCACCAATATTCTTCTTAAAACTATTCATATTACACCGTGACTTCAGACATAAATTATCTCTAATATTAACATAAAAATTGACATAATACAAAAATATTATCCTAATTTTAATAAAAAATATTATTTGAACCTAAAAATTTGACATAATTTATTAACTTAATAACGTGATTTTATTAGAACCATTGAATTAATACTAAGTTCTAATGTTTAATAGAATCTATAATCAATCTAAAAATCATAATGTCTTAGATCAATAAATAAAATTAATAAATGAGTGACATCTTTAACTTTCCTTCCTCCCACCAAACCCCACGCCTCTCTCTCTCTCCTTTACAACAATATCAAAAGGATATACTAATAAGTAATGCTACGTAAGGATATACTAATAAATAATAATACATAAATTTAAAAATTAGACTTAATAATTTTAATCATTAATTTTATTATGAATTTCAGTATTTATTGAGACTTACTATCTATTTAATAATTAAAATTATCAAATTTAATTTTTAAATTTATTTTTTAAGATTAAGTAGTATTACTACCAACTTTGGAGCGGCCTCACTCCACCAAACAGAAACAGGGGCACTTCCTAAGATGTGAATCCTCTCAATTCGAGTATTTGTCTTATTTAAGTATCAACCACCGGATCCAATGGGTCCCACTGGTTTTAGTAATAGTCAATCAATTTAACGGTGATGATTGAATTGAATCAAAACAGTGAAATTGAGAGGATGCTAAAGCTCCTCTCCTCCTCTGTCATTTCTACGAAAATACAACACATGTTCCTGTCTTCTTACTCCAAATAACCCAATCTAATCACCACGCTCCACCTCTATCTCTCTCTCCTTCCTGCTACTACTGCTGTTCCTGTCTTCTTCTTTAATCTCTCTCTCCCCATCATAATTCTCCATCTACATCTCCGGCCGACGAGTCTCTTCCATCGGCGTTCATGGCCAAACTCATCGTAGAAGTTCTTGACGCCAGTGATCTAATGCCCAAAGATGGACAAGGGTCGGCAAGTCCCTATGTAGAAGTAGAATTCGAAGAGCAACGACAAAGAACACAAACAAAGCCAAAAGATCTCAACCCACAATGGAATGAAAAGCTCGTCTTCAACATCGACAATCCAAGGGCTCTTCCCAACAAAACCGTCGACGTTTCTGTGTTCAACGATCGGAAACATGGCCACCGCAACAAGTTTCTCGGCCGGGTCAGAATCTCCGGCGTCTCAGTCCCTTTCTCCGAGTCTGAATCCATGATACAACGCTACCCACTTGACAAACGTGGCCCTTTTTCTAATATAAAAGGCGATATCTCTTTGAAAATATATGCAACTCTTGGTCACTTCTATTCTCCACCACAAGCACAACATTTCAATGGTGTGGAGACTAAAGAAAGTTTCGAAACTTTCGAGACTAAAGAAAGTTTCCAAACTTTCGAAACTAAAGAGACGACTCCATTGCAAGAGTTCGATACTAACAAGCTTGAAGATGAGTACAGAGCTAGTGAATACAAGAAGAAAAAGAAGAAGGAAAAAGAAGTAAGGACTTTTTACAGTGTTGGAAGTGGTGGTGGTGGTGGTCCTGCACCAGCACCAGCACCAGCACCAGCTCCACCACCACCAGTACAAAAGCCGGTGACCTTCGAAGCCCGAAGTGATTTCGCCAAAGCCGGTCCAGCCGGTCCGGGCACCGTTATGCATATGCAATTTCCCGGGCAGAGGCCGGAATTTCAGTTGGTTGAGACAAGGCCGCCGGTGGCGGCCCGTATGAGCTATTGGCGGAGGGAAAAGACAGTAGGTACTTACGATTTGGTGGAGCAAATGCATTATTTGTATGTGAATGTTGTGAAGGCTAAAGATCTTCCAGTAATGGACATAACAGGAAGTCTTGACCCTTATGTTGAAGTGAAGCTTGGGAACTACAAAGGGGTGACTAAACACTTGGAGAAGAATCAGAATCCGATTTGGAACAGCGTTTTTGCGTTCTCGAAAGAGCGATTACAGTCGAATTTGATTGAAATAACTGTGAAGGATAAGGATATTGGGAAGGATGATTTTGTGGGGAGGGTTGTTTTTGATATAATGGAAGTTCCTCTTCGTGTTCCGCCGGATAGTCCTTTGGCTCCTCTGTGGTATAAATTGGATAACAAGAAGGGAGAGAAGGTTCAAGGAGAAATTATGCTAGCAGTTTGGATGGGAACACAGGCTGATGAGGCCTTTCCTGAGGCATGGCACTCTGATGCTCACAACGTTAGCCATCAAAGCCTTTACAATACGAGATCAAATGTATATTTTTCACCCAAATTGTACTACCTTAGAGTCCAGGTTATCGCAGCTCAGGACCTCGTGGCCTCTGATCATACCCGACTACCTGATACATTTGTGAGGGTACAGATTGGTCATCAGGTCAGAGTCACTAGGCCTCAAATGAAGCAAATTAATCCGGTTTGGAACGAGGAGCTCATGTTTGTGGCATCTGAGCCATTTGAAGAGATGATAATAATCAGTGTTGAGGATAGGACCGGACCTGGCAAGGATGAAATCATCGGAAGAATGATCATACCGGTTAGAGAGATCCCTCAGAGAACCGATTCCACCAAGCTACCCGACCCTTACTGGTTCAACCTCCACAGGCATTCTGTGGAGGAACAAGTGGACAAGAAGAAAGAAGTGAAATTCTCGAGCAAAATTCACCTCCGGCTTTGTCTAGATGCCGGTTATCATGTTCTCGATGAGTCCACGCATTTTAGCAGCGATCTTCAGCCATCATCGAAACATCTGAGGAAGCCCAGCATTGGAATTCTTAAGCTGGGAATTTTGAGTGCCAAAAACCTGCTGCCAATGAAAGGTAAAGATGGTAGAACCACAGACGCTTACTGCGTAGCAAAGTATGGGAACAAATGGATTCGAACAAGAACCCTTCTTGATACTCTAGCCCCACGCTGGAACGAGCAGTATACTTGGGAAGTTTATGATCCTTGTACTGTAATCACCATTGGCGTTTTCGACAATTGCCACATCAATGGAAGCAGAGAGGACGCGAGAGATCAGAGAATCGGGAAGGTGAGAATTCGGCTATCAACTCTAGAAACTGATCGAATTTACACCCATTACTATCCATTGCTAGTTCTTCAACAACCGTCTGGTTTGAGGAAACATGGGGAGCTTCACTTGGCATTGAGGTTCACTTGCACAGCTTGGGTTAACATGGTGGCACAATATGGGAGGCCAATTCTGCCCAAAATGCATTATGCCCAACCGATCCCGGTCAGGCACATTGATTGGCTTCGCCACCAGGCAATGCAGATAGTGGCAGCGAGGTTAGCCAGAGCAGAGCCACCACTCAGGCGAGAAACCGTGGAGTACATGCTTGATGTGGATTACCACATGTGGAGCCTGAGACGAAGTAAAGCCAATTTCCAGCGCATAATGTCGCTTCTTTCTGGGTTTTCAGCCGTTTGTCGATGGTTCAATGGCATCTGTCTCTGGAAAAACCCGCTTACAACAATCCTCGTGCACGTATTGTTCTTGATTCTAGTCTGCTACCCTGAATTGATCCTGCCCACAATTTTCCTCTACCTGTTTGTTATTGGGTTGTGGAACTACAGGTTTAGGCCAAGGCACCCACCCCACATGGACATTAAGCTTTCTCAAGCTGGAATGGTGCACCCCGATGAGCTCGACGAGGAATTCGATACATTCCCAACTTCCCGGCCAACAGAAATCGTGAGGATGAGGTACGATCGGTTACGATCCGTAGCAGGGAAGGTGCAGACAGTGATCGGAGATTTGGCAACTCAGGGCGAAAGAGCTCTAGCCATATTAAGCTGGAGGGACTCAAGGGCTACAGCCATATTCATTGTCTTGGCACTAATCTTTGCAGTTTTTCTATACGTTACACCGTTCCAAGTCGTGGCTATACTCATCGGGCTGTACTTGCTGCGCCACCCTCGGTTCCGGTCCAGGTTGCCGTCAGTACCTGTCAACTTCTTCAAGAGATTGCCAGCCAAGTCAGATATGCTGCTTCTCTGAGATGGAAACCATTAGGAACTCAATTATTCAGTCCAGAACAAATTAGAAAGGCAAAGTTCAGTAAATAAATCCAGTGAAGTTAGAGCAGCACAAGGCACAATGGAAGCAATAATATGCCCCTTCCCTTGCCACCCCCTACATTGAAAGATCTCANATTGCCAGCCAAGTCAGATATGCTGCTTCTCTGAGATGGAAACCATTAGGAACTCAATTATTCAGTCCAGAACAAATTAGAAAGGCAAAGTTCAGTAAATAAATCCAGTGAAGTTAGAGCAGCACAAGGCACAATGGAAGCAATAATATGCCCCTTCCCCTGCCACCACCTACATTGAAAGATCTCTTTTCCCGGGCATGGATATCCTATATTCTTCTTTTCTCTTTTCCAGAAAAGATGTACTATATTCTCCAACCACTGTATTAGACCAAGTCCAACCATTCTTTTTGCTTTGAGTATTCAATAGTTTGTTGAATGAGTTGAGAAAAAAAAATGGAAGTAATAGCTTGCATCATCAAGGCATTTTATTTTTTTATTTTTTTTGCTCTAATATTTTTTCAAACTACTTTTTAAAGCTACATCTACTCTTTTTTTTTTCTATCCTCATTCGAATTTTTACACATTTCCTCCCAACTTAATTGCATGAATACTAATACAAACGTTAATGTTCTGTTAAGGGAACGGGCAAAGATCAGCTAACAAAAGTACAGTTTTCCNTTTTTCTTTCCTCATTCGAATTTTTACACATTTCCTCCCAACTTAATTGCATGAATACTAATACAAGCGTTAATGTTCTGTTAAGGGAACGGGCAAAGATCAGCTAACAAAAGTACAGTTTTCCAGCAAGTATAATCAACGAAATTTTCGGGAAAAGAAAATAGGTGAGGACAACAAACTGAATATTCTGGAAAAGAAAATAGTCAGGACAAGAAGAAAAGCAGTGCATTACAATTACCTACATTCAGAGAATCCATTAAAAACAGGCTCTATCAATAGTCCAAAAAGCTCAAAACACCCAAAAATCTCTCATATTCGGTGTAGTCTAATAATAATAATAATATTATGTCATTCTTCCGGAAAAGAAGAGATACAACATTGCCTCATTCTGATGATAGATTCCAAGATTGCAGATATGAAAGCAGAGCCACAATTGTCAACAAGCTTACAAGTATTCCACCCAAAAGTAGAGTGTCCACACGACTCCACTCAAGTATGCTGCCTAGGGCCTGGTCTTGCTTTTGTTTAGATTCCAACACAAATCCATTTTCCTGCGTCTTTTGGTAATGGTTCTTCCGCTTCCTTATTAACCACCCTATGAGATTTCGGCTAATTTGATCTGCTGGCAGCGAGTCATTCTTCGGAACTGGAACCGTTCTTTCATCCAATGGCTTTTGTCCACAGCAACTATTCAGTTCACAAGCACAAGATTCAGGCTCCCTTGAACATGCACAGGGCTCATCGAGGTTGAAGCAGGGAGAACAATTGTCATCACCACCCATTCTCCCACTTGAACTCGTATCCTCATCCCTTTGGTTGAGAGTCTCCATGACTTCCCCGAAAACTGACCACCTTCCTACAGATGTTATCTTCACAACAACTGAAGTCCCCAGCATGCTATTTGGAGCAATTATGAGAACTTGGATGTATCCCTTTGTGTGACCCACCTAAAGCAATAAGGGACCATCTGATTAGATAGAATAGAAAAGCAGCTACCTGAAACATCATAATTCTAAACTGATTTTGTTTATGAACAAAAATGGGAGCTCGACCAGCACTTTGTAAAACTAAACAAAGTTTTATTCCAACTATTTGGGATCAGCTCTTGACAGGTATTAACATATTTTCAGAACTGGAAAATGCTCATGCCTGTGGTTTCCGCAGCATGCATAATCTTCTTAAATAATGAATCTACATGCTAAGTCATAAGATAAGAATATCTGGCTAGCAGTCATTGGCTTCGTGCTCAACTTGACTACCAAATAGAGCATAGTAATAAAATTGATTTCAAAGTATTTTTGCATTCTGATACCTTCTGACGCTAATGAAATTTACAAAAATGAAGCAATCAAAAAATGTTCATAACCCAGAATTGTTTGTGCATAACATGTAAACCACGACCAAATAGATGCCAATATGCCTTCCAAACAGCAACCATCTAACTTGCCCTAATGCAGAGACCCAACTGTGTAATGCTCTAACTCAGGCTGCCAAATCAAAAGAAAATTCCCTTATTAAACCACACATGCTTAGAGACAATCTTACCAAGTGAATTCCATCAGTTGCAATTTCAGTAATCCATACTCTCTCTACTTTGCCTTCCATTCCATGATACGGGGTGAAAGACTCAAAAACAGCAGTCAATTCACGGCTCCGATTCTTTACTACAGTACTTGGGACTTTTTTCATCCTTGCAGCAGGGGTACCTGGATTTTGAAAGAAACTCAGGAACAGCTATCACTAAGAAACAGTCAAATGGTTAAGTCACTTGGATTCACTGAATTGTGTTTCGTGATTACATGATTATATTTTCTTTTCCTGGGTTGCTTGTGATGCATGTAGGTGGTGTGGGTGTTGTGGGGTGTAAGNGTGTGTTTCGTGATTACATGATTATTTTTTTTTTTCCTGGGTTGCTTGTGATGCATGTAGGTGGTGTGGGTGTTGTGGGGTGTAAGTATGATATGATTTTCTTAGGATATGGTAATTCGTACCTATCAACTATAATTCAACTTTTAAATCTCTGCTCAAAAGAAACGGTTAGTAACAGAACATAGTAATGGGTCACCATCAAACGGTGATAATGACCGCAAGCCAGAGTTAACGAAGGACATAAAACCTAACACATTTCCACGAATATACTTTGGAATGCCTCAACCCTTAAGGTTGATAACCAATGCACGACAACTTTTCTACATAAAGGAACACAAAATGCTTATGAACAGCTCAAGAGACATGCAATAATCATGACAACATTATGCATATAAGAAAAGGCTTTAACCAAACTTTTGCTTAATCGAGTCTATCCAAATCAAATTTTCATTAATCCATCCACTTGTGAAATGATCCATTGAAACCTAGACCACCCGATTTAACCTAAACAAATTTAGAGTAGTCATTTATGTATACATACGCTCCTTATACAACAAACTATGATGGACATAACACAATTAAATTATAAAGAGACAAATTCAAGACCTAGTAGAAATACCNNGAAGCAATCAAAAAATGTTCATAACCCAGAATTGTTTGTGCATAACATGTAAACCACGACCAAATAGATGCCAATATGCCTTCCAAACAGCAACCATCTAACTTGCCCTAATGCAGAGACCCAACTGTGTAATGCTCTAACTCAGGCTGCCAAATCAAAAGAAAATTCCCTTATTAAACCACACATGCTTAGAGACAATCTTACCAAGTGAATTCCATCAGTTGCAATTTCAGTAATCCATACTCTCTCTACTTTGCCTTCCATTCCATGATACGGGGTGAAAGACTCAAAAACAGCAGTCAATTCACGGCTCCGATTCTTTACTACAGTACTTGGGACTTTTTTCATCCTTGCAGCAGGGGTACCTGGATTTTGAAAGAAACTCAGGAACAGCTATCACTAAGAAACAGTCAAATGGTTAAGTCACTTGGATTCACTGAATTGTGTTTCGTGATTACATGATTATATTTTCTTTTCCTGGGTTGCTTGTGATGCATGTAGGTGGTGTGGGTGTTGTGGGGTGTAAGTATGATTTGATTTTCTTAGGATATGGTAATTCGTACCTATCAACTATAATTCAACTTTTAAATCTCTGCTCAAAAGAAACGGTTAGTAACAGAACATAGTAATGGGTCACCATCAAACGGTGATAATGACCGCAAGCCAGAGTTAACGAAGGACATAAAACCTAACACATTTCCACGAATATACTTTGGAATGCCTCAACCCTTAAGGTTGATAACCAATGCACGACAACTTTTCTACATAAAGGAACACAAAATGCTTATGAACAGCTCAAGAGACATGCAATAATCATGACAACATTATGCATATAAGAAAAGGCTTTAACCAAACTTTTGCTTAATCGAGTCTATCCAAATCAAATTTTCATTAATCCATTCACTTGTGAAATGATCCATTGAAACCTAGACCACCCGATTTAACCTAAACAAATTTAGAGTAGTCATTTATGTATACATACGCTCCTTATACAACAAACTATGATGGACATAACACAATTAAATTATAAAGAGACAAATTCAAGACCTAGTAGAAATACCGTTCTACATCAATTATTTATAAGAATACTGCCCTGCACAATACATAGTCTCCAACCTACTCCCTTACTTGATACAAGTGATAACAGCTACTGTGCATGTCAGCTATAGACGGACAGTCTGCGGAAGCTAATTCACCCCAGAAATTTTATACTGCTGGAAAAAAGGACATAATGGACCCATGCAAGCAAAAGAACAGCTACAGGACCATAAAAAAGATGGCTGTTGTACTCCAGCAGAAGAAAAATGAAATTAGAAAAAAAAAACCTTAGACGCCACCAAACCCTAGCAAAGGGACCACAAAAGAGGGGGGATGGGAAGGCAGACAGATCACACACAAAGCTGGGTTCACCAAACCTCGATCGTATTGAAGCCAGCCAACAAACACTGTACATCAGAAACAGTCCACATAGTTCATCAAGCACAAGAGGTGTGACGTAGTATAGCCTATTTTGGTTCGTTTTGAGGGCTGAATTACCAAGGAAGCTGATTAATGAATCACGATTCACGACAAGGTAAAAAGGTTTAGAATCATAAATCAATCAACTATGTGGTCTTCTATTCAGGTTAAGGGATTAAAATATAAGCGTACAGTAGTTTAGCGTCTAAAAACGTTTTTCTAGTAGATAAATGGTTTTGGACGTCCCCACTACAACCTGATTCATGTAATTAGTATAAAGTATGGTTTTCAGAAGATTTTTTTTTTTTTTTTTGGGGGGTGGGGGGTGGTCAGGGCATATTGCAACTCATGAGTCATCGAAAATTCATCTCACAAATATATCTTTCTTTTCTTTCTTTGACTCATTAAAAAGATGGTGGTGGATTTGAAATGTTATTTTGAAGGCATTCTTCCTTTTTAACAGTTTGTCCCCATCTTTATCATTTTTTCTCCCTCCATGAGCCTCATATATCTTGTCCTGATGTTATGAGAGTGGACTCTTATTTTTGGGATTTCCATTTTCTTTAGGTGCCTCAATGATCGAGTACTAGCATATTTACCTTTGTCTCGCGCTATTGCTCAAAGAAAGATTTGGAACTCCCTTGGCCTTTAGCATGGCCCAGCCCTGCACAACTCCACCAGGTGTCGATTCTTTGTTTCGGACACCCCATTCTGCAGCAGAGTACGAGCACACAACAACTCACATTTGATTCCTATTTTCGGGAGGATGAAATCAAACACCCTTGACACGTATTCAGACCTCAAACTTTTGATCCGGAGATTTGACTGATTTTCTTTCTTTTTTTTTGATAGGAAAAAAAGATTATATTAATAATAAAAATGGATGTAATACAATATGAAAGGGAAGGTGGACAAGTTGTCCAACTGAACTGTAGTGCAATAAANTGATAGGAAAAAAATATTATATTAATAATAAAAATGGATGTAATACAATATGAAAGGGAAGGTGGACAAGTTGTCCAACTGTAGTGCAATAAAAAAAATAGCACTACATTGAAACAAGAAAAAATAAACAGCGTGGATGAATAATTTCTACAANGATAGGAAAAAAAGATTATATTAATAATAAAAATGGATGTAATACAATATGAAAGGGAAGGTGGACAAGTTGTCCAACTGAACTGTAGTGCAATAAAAAAAAATAGCACTACATTGAAACAAGAAAAAATAAACAGCGTGGATGAATAATTTCTACAAACATAAGTCCAGCTCCTTGAAATTTTAAAAAGAGGCAAATTATCAAAATCTTTCGATATTGATGCCCAAAATGATGCTAAATATAGATATGATTCTCATAAATCCGCACATTTCTTTCCAACAAAATCACCCAAAAAATGGCAAGCATTGCATAATCCCAAAGAGTAACTGCACTACTCATTCTTCCAAAGCCACCAAAGTCCATACAAGACGAAGTTGAAATGGAACTTGGGGCCACCCAAAAAAGCCCAGTCATCTTAAATACCACGCAGCCGGGCAATGCAAAAATAAATGATTCACATTCTTGCATTCATTGTTACACATAAACACACCGTTGTGGATGAAGGCATGTATTAGGTATTCTCTTTTGGAGTACCTCATTGGTGTTGGTCTTACCATGAGTCACAACCTATGCACAAACTTGTACTTTTAAAGGCACTTTAGCCTCTAAATTTTCAATGATGGATAAAAAATTAGGAGGGAAGAATCATCAATCAGTGAATCAAAAAAAGCTTTGCAAGAGAACAAGCACATCAAGTCAATGACCCAACTATTTCTATCCAAAGAATCATGATGTAAAGTTGTATAACCAATCAATAGGAGTAATATCAAATCGAGAAATGCTAAAGAGATGCAAATATAAACATGCTAAGGATGACTCCCCAACCTAAACGTCCTTCCAAAAATGAACTCTCCCCATTACCCACAACAAATTTAACTCTTAGATAAAATGGCTGTAATCCTCAAGAAATTAATTTCCATGGGTGCCGAAAACTACCCTTTTCAACCCCCATTAGCATCCCACTAATTGGCATATAAGTCATACTTCCTTCCAATTACTAAATGCCACAATGCATTTTGCTCCAACCATAGCTATATTTCTAGCCTTTAGATTATCCACTAAAAGACCCTCTTTAATTCTAAGCCTAGACACTACCTCCCACTGAATCGAATAATCTCTCTTGCCATCACTACGACTCTCTTATAACAAAACTTTCATCATCCCTTAAATCCTCCTTGCCACCAAACAAGGAATCTTGAATAGGGAAAAGACATAAATAGGAATGCTAGCCAACACCGACTTAACCAAGGTAAGCCCTCCTCCTCCTCTATATATAACAGTTTTATTCCACCCATCCAATCTTTTCCCTATCTTTTCAACAACCATGTTCCAAAAACTCAAGTTAAAGGGTTACAACTAAACAAAGCCCCAAATACTTAAGGGGCCACCCTCCCAAAAGACATCCCAAAGCACTAGCCAATCTTGTGATCTTATCTTGACCCGAATTAATGCTAACAATCAAACTCTTATCCATATTGACCTTAAACCTAGATATCACACGAAACACATCAACAATTTTTTTAAGGCTCAAGAATTTCTCTTTATCTCCCAAGGAAAGGAAAACGGTATCATCTACAAATTGTAAATGTAACACAAAAATTCTTTCCCTACCAACAACAAATCCCTCTACAAAATTACACCATATTGCCCAGAGTAAACAAAATGGGAGATAATGGATCTCCCTGTTTAAGCCCCCTAGATACCTTAAACCTACCTCTTGGTTTGTCATTTAGAATGACAGAAAAGTTCACAAACTGCAAGCATCCTGTAATCCAACTCATCCATCTTTCACCATAGCCCTTCATTTCTAATACAAATTCTAAAAAATCTCAATCCATACATTAGCCTTCTCAAAATCAATCTTCAAAACAATGTTCTCCACAGTTCTAGATCTATAATCTTCAACCAACTCATTTGCCACTGAAGCCACATCTCTATCTACTTTTAACAAATGCACCTTAAAACCTTAAAATAGTGCCACTCAAGCANGCAAAACAATGTTCTCCACAGTTCTAGATCTATACTCTTCAACCAACTCATTGGCCACTGAAGCCACTTCTCTATCTACTTTTAACAAATGCACCTTAAAACCTTAAAATAGTGCCACTCAAGCACCATCTAAGCCTTACTGAAAGCACTTTAGTAATGATCTTATAAAGGCTACTGTCACGCCGTGTCCCAACTCCATAGAAATCAAAGTGTTAATAACCCCAATAATATAAATCCAATCTTCGAAGTGATAAAAATTACAACTTTCACAAAATTCAAAAAATAGGTTTCTAGACATTACTCCATATGCAAATCCCACCTAGGAAATCCCTCTCTAGTCTCTAAATTGATCCACCCTCATCAACCCTAGTTGCCACAATTGTTCCTATTCTTGAACACCTTTTACTCAGAAAAAGATATAAATAATATAGGGTGAACGCCAACATACTCAATAGCATAATCAAATTCTGAAACAAACAAGGTTTGAAAATAAATAATTTCAAGTGATTGGGAATTAAAACATATTTGGCGATACTTATATATAAGTTGAAACAATTTAAGTATCAAAAAATAGAGTTTTAAATAACCAAAACAGATATCATAGTGTGCCACATTGGAGAACAAATCTTAAAGACCTCACAAGTTACACATCATCAAATAAACTTTTTAGCCCCTAAGGAAGATACATTCCCTACAATCCAGCTAGTACCCAAGCCTGAAAACCACTAGGCCATCAAAACCAATAAACTCAGTGAAGCCCTCTACGATTTCAACCTGGAGCATAAACCCTTTGCCCCCTCAATCCTATGTACACATACTTTTCACAAAATGAATCTGAGAAGTTACCTTTCACAAAACAAATCAAAATTTAATTATTTACACAGCTTCGAAGAGCCCAAACCAAATCTAAAGTCACTAAAGTTTGTAAGCAAACCCAGCCCCCTAGATAAGAACTTTAAGAATGTGATTCCTAAAATAAATTAAGTATTAAAAGGGTTAGAAAATCTAAGTCCCTCTCAAAACCGGAGTAACCTACCACCGCTTCAAATTAGTTTCAAATTGGTGCCCATGAACCACATATTCAGGTCTTATAAATATCTAACCAAAAAAAAAATTTCACATAAATATCAAATCACCGTTTGAATTTAGTAGTGGAAATTTTATCAAACCATCATCCAATCTAATAGATGTTGTCGATATTCCCTCAAGAATAACATACCAAGTTTCAACTTGATCGGAGTTTGTTTTACCGTTAATTTTGACTTCATGAATTTTTCTTTCCCTCTCCTCTTTCGTCTCTCTTCCATCTCTTTCTTCTTCTCTCCTCTTGTTTTCTCTCCTTCCCTCTTCTTCTTTCGCTCGGCTCCTTCCTTTTCTTCTCTCTTCTCCCTTTTCCTTTCAGTTTCTCTCTCTCTTCTTCTCTTCTCTCTTTTATACTCTCTTTCTTCTCTTATTTTTCTCGTTTCCTTTTGCTAGCCCATAACCTCCTTTTATAGCCCCTTAAAACAACCATTTTCAATTTACACCGAGATCCAACTTCACAATCATGAAAAAATCATTCAATAAATCTGGACATATATTACAGAAAAGAACTCTATTTACAGATGCTAGAAAACCTTAACAACTTATGCAAACTCCAAAACCTTGGTCCCTCATTGCGACCACATAAAAGTTGAGATTACATCAAAATAAAAAGGATGTATTCATGTCCACCAAATCCTTTGAAAGATAGAGATTGGTTACTCAAAAATAGATTTCTACATATTTTGGGACAAATTATATTTTACTGGCCTATAGATTAGCCAAGTCACATAACCCCACTGTCTTTGTCAATAGGACACATAACACTCTTGGATTACCAAGACTAAAGAGCAAATAACTGTCAAGAGTGATAGTGAAATAGAGAGAATAAAGACCCTTCACATCTTTTGTTCTCCATCTCATTTTTCCTCCACAGAAAAAAAAATTCTTTAAAAAATTTGAAAAAAAAAAAAAACTAACAGATTGGTCTAAAAAAATTAGATAAATTAATTTGAATCAATCATAATAACACCATATGCAGTTTTTGACAATTACAAGGGATACCTTAATGTCAACTAATATTACACAAACATCTATGTTAGATTTTATCCCCAACAAAGTACATGGAATGCGGGCATCACTTCACACCTGTATCAAACTAATTAAACACTGCTCTTGGTCTCATTATTATTTCTTATAACTTTAGTATGACTGTGAAGCATGTTGACTTGATTGAGATTTTCTGAACAAAACACAGTCTCCGATGCTTCGTAGAATGCTGGAGAAACAAATTCTGATGATCTGATCTCACGTTTACTTGAACTTGTGATGGTGAGTTTTGTTAGGTTTGCTACAAGGATTTTATTTTGATTTATTGAGTTTTTCCAAATCAGTGGTAGTGATATTGCTTTTCATCTTCGAGTTTAATATTTGATTTCATGTTCATAGTGTGTGGTGGTGGGATGGCGGCCAGTCATGGTGGTTTGGGAATTTAGGTAGGAAGTGGCAGTTGTAGTTCAGTTAGGGAAGTGATTTTTTTGTTTCTTAATTTCTTAGTCACACAAAAATTCCTATTCTTATTATTTTTTAGTTTTCTAGGCTTTTGAGGATAAAAAAGTTATTTAAAGCGGGAGAAAGGGGGGGCGGCAGAGAGAGAGAGAGAGAGGAGGAGGAGGATATCAGCATATTAGGTTAGTCAACTTAATCATTGACTAGCAGAAGGGTACCCTTTGAAAAACGATCACAATTTATTCTTTTAGCAATTTGTATTAAATAACTCGAGTTTTTCTCCTTTTAAATTGCACAACATAGCATTTTACTAAATATATACAACATCATTAATGCTTACCATATTTAAAAATATACATATAAGATAACGTTTTAGTACAACGATATAATAAAAAAATCTCTGCCTGAATCCTATTTGACCCATTTCTCCCAAGAATATTAGATATTCATCTCTCTTTAAACTATGGATACGTCATCAGTGCTACTTCGTAATAAAAGATAACCTCTCCAACATCATTTCTATCGCAAGTCTCTGCAGAATATGCNTAGTACAACGATATAATAAAAAAATCTCTGCCTGAATCCTATTTGACCCACCCAAGAATATTAGATATTCATCTCTCTTTAAACTATGGATACGTCATCAGTGCTACTTTGTAATAAAAGATAACCTCTCCAACATCATTTCTATCGCAAGTCTCTGCAGAATATGCACTATCTCATTATCTCTATGCTTTTCAGCTACATTCATCAAAGTCTCCAGCATATTTTATCTCCCACAGGTACTTCAATAAATTTATTCGTATGTTCGCATAATTTCCCTTAAGTTGTTTTTCTGATCTTACTTGGCTAAAATGCAAGGTATAAACTCTACCAAATTGGAAAAGATACACTTGAAAGTAAAANGCATATTTTATCTCCCACAGGTACTTCAATAAATTTATTCGTATGTTCCCATAATTTCCCTTAAGTTGTTTTTCTGATCTTACTTGGCTAAAATGCAAGGTATAAACTCTACCAAATTGGAAAAGATACACTTGAAAGTAAAAAGAGAATCATAATATCTTAGTTCCACTTTCTCGAACACTGACATGCAACTTCTTATCATCATGTAAAATGAAAAGAAACAAATTACATTGGGCATATATACCATACTCTGTTTATTAACAAACAATGAGCTTAAAATCAAAACAGGTTTGCCACAATGACAACAAACTAGAAGTTTGCTAAATAGGTCTATTCAGTCTACACAAGTACAGATGTATAAACAGAAATTGAAAACCATAAAGGAGTACCACAGAAATGTACCAGGTCGGGGATAGAATTGTGATATATGAACTTGAGGAAACTTGTACTCTTTGACAAGGTTCACTGTTTGAGCAAAATCTTCATCAGTTTCACCTGAGAAGCAAAGAGATGAGTATCATTCTTTAGCAAACTTCAAGACATAATATTCCGGATAAAACTATACCAATTCAACCCAACAAAGCCTTGTCCCAGAATTTTTGGGGTCGGCTACATGAATCATGTTTAGCCATTGTGCTCTATCAAGGGCCATGTTTTTTTGTTAAACCATAAGTTCTCATATTTTTCTTTAGTATTTCATTTAAAGTAATGTTGGTCTTCCTCTACCCCTACACTTACTGTTAATAGCAATCATATCACTCTTTCCCACCAATGTTATAGTAGGCCGTCTATAAAATTATCCAAATCACCTAAGTCGATTCTCTCTTGATTTATATCTTATATGTGTTACCTTTGCTTTTCACGGATATAATCATTCTTAATTTTATCTTTCCTAGTTTTACCACACATCCATCTTAACATTCTCATTTTCACCACTCTCAATCTTTGAACGTGTTGTTTTTTTAGTTGTCCAACAATAAATATCATAAAGCATAGCGATTCTTATGGTCATTCTATAGAATTTTCCTTTTTAACTTAAGGGATACGCGTCTATCACACAATACATCGGATATATTCCTCCATTTAGTCATTTGGCATTAATTCTATGAGTAACATCGTCATCACTCTCACACTCTCTATGAATAATAAACTCTAAATATTTAAAATGTTCCTTGTTCGGCATCTCTTGATCTTCAATTCTTACTATTTTCCAATTTGGATTTCTCCTTATGCTAAAAGTACATTCCATATTTTCAATTTTAATCCTACTTATCTGAAATTCTTATGATTCAATAGCTTCTCACTAGATTTCTAGTTTATTATTTATTCTTTTTTTACTTNCTGTTCGGCATCCTCTTGATCTTCAATTCTTACTATTTTTCAATTTGGATTTCTCCTTATGCTAAAAGTACATTCCATATTTTCAATTTTAATCCTANTTGTTCGGCATCTCTTGATCTTCAATTCTTACTATTTTCCAATTTGGATTTCTCCTTATGCTAAAAGTACATTCCATATTTTCAATTTTAATCCTACTTATCTGAAATTCTTATGATTCAATAGCTTCTCACTAGATTTCTAGTTTATTATTTATTCTTTTTTTACTTTCATCAACTAATACAGTATCATCTGCAAATAACATACACCATAGTAGCTCATCGCAAAAAGATATAGACTCAAAGCATGTAAGCTTATAACGATTGAAATTCTTTAGTCTCTCCTGTCGTTGTTCTCACTAAGGTCAACACATTTTCTTCCTGTTTGCACCCAAATATTAAATAAATCCAAGGGTGCCATGTGTCAAGATCTAACTGCTAGAGGTGAGTCAAAAAGAGTCCAAATGAGAGAAGACGGTTAAGGAATAGAACTCCATGTATCTCGAAAAACGAGGTGTGGCAAGCATAACATCATGAGCCGTCAGTTATGGACGATTCGGTGTACGACTAAAGACATTGGAGAAAGTGGCCATGATTGGTCTCATGGCTAGAAAAGATGGCTCCAACAAATTAAGAGCCATCCCATNAAGGAATAGAACTCCATGTATCTCGGAAAACGAGGTGTGGCAAGCATAACATCATGAACCGTCAGTTATGGACGATTCGGTGTACGACTAAAGACATTGGAGAAAGTGGCCATGATTGGTCTCATGGCTAGAAAAGATGGCTCCAACAAATTAAGAGCCATCCCATACTTCTTAAACCCGTTTTTCCAAAATTCGAATCAATTTTCAAATCATTTTGAAGTCAGAGCTAGACTGAAAGAGGTTAGAAAGAGATTGAAACCATATTTGAATAAACAAGCTATGCCAATGAACAAGGTATGACATTTCTCGGTAATTAGTATAATTATATATGTGTGTAATTACGATTTGTAGCTACATAACAAATTTACTTCACAGATCAAATTATATACTGATAGATATGGAGAGTTTGGAAATATACTTCGAGGTTTCATATTTAAACCTGTGGTCATTTATTTTTTAATAAATAGCTCATAGTCACAAACTCTAATATTATCCACATATTTGTATTGGTAGCAGAATGGTGGATCCATCATGGTGAAGAAGTCCCTCATCTATAGAAAATTGCAATCAAAGTTTTAATCCAAACATGTTCTTCATCGGTTTGTGAAAGAAACTGGAGCACAAGGTCATTGATCCATACAAAACTTCGCAATCGCTTGGCAATGAAGAAATTGCAAAAGCTAGTTTTTATGCGGTACATTGTGCAGTTATGAGTTAGAAATTTAGCGCATCAACTTGACAATGATAATTTTTACAATCCAATTGATTCCAACCATGTTTTTAATGATGAGTACATATTAGATGAGTGAATATGAGAGGTAGAACAACCTATTCTATCACATGATAATTTAGGCTAGTTGGATGTAGNAACTTGACAATGATAATTTTTACAATCCAATTGATTCCAACCATGTTTTTAATGATGAGTACATATTAGATGAGTGAATATGAGAGGTAGAACAACCTATTCTATCACATGATAATTTAGGCTAGTTGGATGTAGGTATTCACAACATTGAAGAACATGAAGGTGGACGAGATGCAAATGAAGAACATGATACTAATATAGCTCCTCTAGTATCTATCAATTATACCGCCATCAAAAAACATGGAAGGGATATTGGGCCAAGTACAAATGGTAAAAAACCTATGAATTTTTGATTGCTCTAGTGATTCTTATTTCGCTACTAATGATGATGGTGTTGGTGATGGGGATGATAGATATAGTGGTGAGTCTAGTGACAGTCCTAGGGCCAACAAGAGTAAATGTCATCATAGTTCACAAGGTTACCAAGGCATTGACGATCATATGCATAATTTGGGCTTGGCATCACATGCACANGACAGTCCTAGGGCCAACAAGAGTAAATGTCATCATGGTTCACAAGGTTACCAAGGCATTGACGATCATATGCATAATTTGGGCTTGGCATCACATGCACGATTAGGATATTGGCCTTATGGACATTATCAATGAGTGGTGTTTATTATAATTACTGATATGGACCGTATGGTCTTGGTGTCCCTCCTCAACAACTTGAGCGATTTACTAGCACAAATAGTAGTGATTATTATGGTCATCGCCCAACGTGGCATGAGATATTTACTAGTACAAGCATTGGTGGCTACTATGATCGTATTCCAAGGAGATGCAATCATGGATCTTCTACCACATCTACAGGCGGTATAAACTAATACAATCCTTACGGATACGATCAATCTTCTGCTAGTAATGGCTATGAATATCAGGATTTTGGTTACTATCAACATGGGGCCGAGCAAGCACAACCTCCACAATCCTTTTACTCTGGGTATGGATCATTTAGTCAATCATCTCAACCAACACAATCAGAAGGACAGTCATATTTGTATCCATATCCTTATAGTGGGAATTACTTACCGAACTTGTATAATTACCAAAGTAAAAATACTAATGATATCGATCCTCATCGTCATTCAACATGACAATGATTTTGGCTCAGAATGGTCTTAAATGCTTACATTGAACATAGATTATGACATAATGGTCTTTTTGCAATGATTAATATGTTAAATAATGCATTTTGGTGATATGACGCATGAATAAGGATGTTTATATTTATTACAAATTTTTTAGATTTTTTCAAATTTTTTTGAGCCTAATATAGTATGTTTATATCGGCCCATACCGCGACGTCGCGACCGATGTATCTCAAAGACCCCCTAAGTCAAAGGGCAATACCGCGACCTTAAACCATGGGAGTAATCATAATATCTTACCAAGGCCGCAAAACCCAATTTTCTTCCAAGTTAGAATTTAAATGCACCAACAATCAAGCCAAATACGAAGCATTAATTATCGACTTAGAAATTCTTAGGGATGAGGGCATCTATCGTGAAAATAATGGGTGATTCTAGACTAGTCCTTACCCAAATAGCCAGAAGCTTTCAATGCAAACGCTGGGAGCTGTGCTCATTCTATTTAATCGCAATGTCTTTATTATTTAATTTTGACGACGTGACCTTACGACCGGTTCCAAGGAGTAGAATGGTCAGGTGAATAGCTTGACCCAGTTGGGATCTAGCGTAAGGATTCCTCGAGGAATGGATGAGCAGTTAATCAAGATATAAAGAAAAGCGTTGCCATCCATTAAAGTAACGGGAATGGAGTTTGAAGAGTTGGTTGTACTTGTGAAAATAGAAGATATAGATTGGAGATACGATATCATGCAATTCCCGAAAAACCCCAGTGGCAATGTTGAGCAAGCTACAAGAAGCAAAGCCGCTAATTCCTTACTTATGGATTCTATTAACGCTCACCTCCACCCCAAGGGCTCAGGCCTTGGTTGGGGTGGAGTCGAGCTAGCCCAGATATAGTCTTTCAGTCCCCTTTTGATAAACAATACTACTCAAAACGAAAAATAGATAGATTTATTGACAGACATAAATCGTTTAACGGGGAATTGTACGAAAAAGAAGTACACAATGACCTATTGTTGAGGAGTTTAGGTGAAGACCATGTTAGTGATGACCAAGAGTCACGAAGGAATATGGGGGGCCTACCAGGCTGACATAAAAATGTGATGGCTCATAAGAAGATACAACTATTATTGGTCGAATATCCTAAAAGATTACATGGAGTATGCAAAAAAGTGTTAGGCGTGTCAATGCCACAACCTTATTCAAAGGGTGTCAGCAATGCAGAAGCACCCAGTAGTGAAGCCTTGGAAATTTCAAGTATGGGCTATGGATTTAGTTATGAGGTTTTCACTCCATCAACAAGGCAAACACTCTTTTATCATTTTGGCCACCGACTACTACACTAAGTAAGTTGAGACCATTCCAATGAGAACGGTCAATCAGGCCGATGTTATTCATATGATGAAGGAAAATATAATAAATTGATTCGGACTTCTACAACATATAGTTTCCTAAGGGCACGATATGTTGTCTGAAGCGCTATAGGCATATAGAACATCCAAACAATCGAGTA